GCAGCTCCTTCTTTGGATCTGATGCTCCAGAATTTCCTTTATGTTCTTTTGAGTTCAGCTATGAATTTAAAAGGACGTTTTATCATTTATCCAAAATTTCTAGATGTTTTGTTACATGAGAGATTTTCAGATATCTTATCAAACATATTGAGAAACAAAAATTTTAGATTTTAAATTTGACTTAAAAAGTCCTTACTAATAAACATTATTCTGAGTTCCAGGGGTTGCCAAGATAAACAAGACTTCAAGAAACGTACTGTGTAGTCACGCAGACAGGTAAGTAATCAATGAACAGTGCTAAATGAAATAATCACCAAATAGAGATTTAAAGAAGCTGTGGCAAGGCAGATGGAAGAAAGATGTTTTCTTTAATAGGATTTACACTGTTACATACTTTTTATAGGTCAGTCATTTGTGTTTCTAAAAGTATTTGTATCCTATCTATCAGACGTGATTTCTCTAAGGTGCCTAGATTAGGAACATAATAAACTGGGGCTTGTGCTTTTGAGATGGAAAAGTTATACTTTCCCCTTTTCTTCCCACGAAGCACAATTATATATAAACAAACATAAGACTGAAAGATGACGAGAAGAAGGCAGACTGGTTAAGGACTCTGGACCTGAGTAACACCATAGTAATACGTTCCAAGCATTTCATTTTTGCCTCACATACCTCAGAGTTAGAACTGAAGAAGCGAGAAACCCAGAAATGACACCAGCCACAGACAAAAAACCTATTACTATAGCCAAAAGAGCAGGAAAGAAGCAGTTTAGCAAGACAGAAACTTTACTTGCTCTTCTATAGCCAAATGCCACAGAAAAAAACTATGGCCCCACCACCATCCACGCTGCAAAGTCTGACTGGAAGCCCAGACTTCCCTCTTTATCAGCTATAAGAAGGTACCCCAACTTCCTTTCAGGCTAAGGTCAAGCAGGGTGGGGCTGGGACTTTCATCTCCATCCTGCAGTAATGAGCTCCCCACTCCCTACAGAGTCAGTGGAGACCACATGGGGAGCCTGGACTTCCATCCTTATATGGCAACAAAGGGTACTACTTCTCTCTCCCCATGGTGGTATGTTGGGGAACACATGCTGGAGAATCAGAACTTTCACCACCGGCCAAATGTAACACGGTCATATCACTGAGGTGTCAGTGGAGGCCACATGGTGAGCAACAATTAGGCACCCCTGCTCCTCCCAACCCGGGTGGTATGAGAAAGGTCTAGTAAAGAAATGGGAATTCTACCCCAGCCCAACAGCAATGAGAAGCTCCTTTCCCCACTGTGTGCCCAGAGAGGCCTAGGAGGAACCTGGACACCTACCAGTATTTGGTAGTAACGGGGTTGGGGGGGGGGACTCAGGGACCTGTGGGACTATAACAAAAGACCAAACATTCATGCTACTGGTGTCCTGGAAGGAGAGGAGAAAGAGGGTACAGCTGAAAAAGTACTTGATGATATAATGGCTGAAAACTTTCACATTTGGTCAATACCTCCTACTCCCCAAAAGAACAGCTATTTAAAAAACTATAAGCCCATAGATTCAAGAAGTTGAGTCAACCTCAAACAAGTTAAACCCAAAGAAATCCACATCAAGACATATCATAGTCAAATTTCTGAAAACTAAAGACAAGGGAGAAAATCTTGAAAGCAGTGAGAGAAGCCCTGGCTGGCATAGCTCAGTGGATTGAGCACAGGCTGCAAACCAAAGTGTCGCAGGTTCGATTCCCAGTCAGGGTACATGCCTGGGTTGCAGGCCATGACCCCCAGCAACCGCACATTGATGTTTCTCTCTCTCTCTCTATCTCCCTCCCTTCCCTCTCTAAAAATAAATAAATAAAATCTTAAAAAAAAAGAAAGCAGTGAGAGAGAAAAAACACCTTGCCTGTACTACCGGAGGAAAACAATTTGCACGACAGGATTTCTTACTAGAAAACCTGAAGGCCAGGAGGCAGTGGAACACTGTTTTGCAAGTACTGCAAAAAAGGAACTGTCAACGCAGAATTCTACATGCAGTGAAAATATCCTTCAGGAATGAAAGAGAAGTCAAGACAGTCTCTGGTGAAGGAAAACTAAGAGGTTAAGTTGCCAACATATCTACCCTAAAAGGATGACTGAGGAAGTTTTCTAAACACAAAGGAAATGATGAGAGGATGAATCTTGGAATGTTAGGAAGGAAGACAAATGAAAAGAATAAAAATATCAGTAAATGTATTTCCCTTCTTGTTTGGAGTTTTAATTTTTTTTTTTTTATGGTTGGGGAAAAATCATAATACTGTCTGATGAGGTTATAAATGCATATAGAGAAAATAGTTAAAATAATATATTTTAAATGGAACAGGGAAAAGGCAATGCTATGGGTTGAATCCCACCCCCCCCCCGAAAAAGGTATGTTGAAGTCCTAACCTACAATATCGCAGAATGTGACCTCATTTGGAGTTAGAATCACCGCAGATATAATTAGTTAAGATGAAGTTATACTGGAGTAGGGTGGGCTCCTTACCCAATATGACTGATGTCCTTATAAAGACATGTGAAGACACAGGCACAAAGAGAACACCATATCGTAACAAAGGCAGAGACTGGAATTATGTAGGTAAAAGTCAAGAAATGCCAAAGGCTGACAGCAAACCACCAGAAGCTAGGGAGAGGTAAGGATGGATTCTGATACAGGTTTCAGAGGAAGCACGGCCCTACTGACAGCATGATTTCTGACTTCTAGCCTCCAGAACTATGTGATTTGAAGAAGTATTCTATAACTATGGTAAATAAGAGAGGGTGGGATTGGTGAAGAAACAGACACATAGATCAATACAACAGAATAAAAGAAACCCATAAACAGATCCACATAAATACACCCAAATAAACTGTGAGAAAGGTATAAAAGCAATTCAGTGGAGAAAGGATAGCCTCCTCAGCCAGCGATCCTGGTGCAGCTGGGTATCCACAGGTTAAAAAACAGACATCGACCTATACCTCACATCTTAAACAAAAACTAACTCAAAATAAATTATGAACTTAAATGTGAAATATAAAACCATACAAAACTTTTAGAAAAAAACATAAGAGAAAATCTAGGATTTGGCACAGAATCCTTGGACTTCACACCAAAAGCATGATCCATAAAAAAAAAATTGATAAGCTGGACTTCATCAAAATTAAAAACTTCTCTTCTGTGAAAGATCCTGTGGAGAAGGTGAAAAGACAAAGTACTGGAAGAAAATATTTGTGAGCCACACATCTGACGAAGGTTCAGTATGTAGCATATAGAAAGAACACTCAAAATGGAACTGGAAAAACAAAGACAGAATCAATCCTATTTAAACGGGTAAAAACACAAATGGACATTTCATCAAAGAGGATATATAGATGGCAAATAAGCACATAAAATACATTTGACATAATTAGAAATTAGGGAAATGAGAATAAACAGTACAATGAAATATCAGTACATACACTTAAGAATGGTTAAAATAAAAAACAGCAACAACACCAAATGTTGGCAAGGATGCAGGGAAACTGGGTCACTCATACACTGCTGATGGGAATGTAAAATGAGAGAACCACTCTGGAAAATAGTTTGGCAGTTTTGAGAAAAACTAAACATACAATTACAATACAGCCTAGCAATTCCATTCTGGGCATTTATTCCAAAGAAATGAAAAATGTTCACATTTTTCATATTCACATTTCATATTCACATGAAAACATGTAAACAAATATTATAGCACCTTCATCATAGTAAAAAACTGGAAACAATGGCGGTGTCATTTAACAGGTGAATGGTTAGACTGTGGTATATCTATATCATGGAATACAGCTCAGCAATAGAAAGGAATAAACTATTGATACACTCAACAATTTACGTTAATCTCTAGTGAATTACGCTATGTGCAAAGACCAATCCCAAAGGTTATATATTATATGATTCAATTTACATAACATTCTTGGAATGAATACAAACTAGAAATGAAGGGCAGGTTAGTGGTTGCCAGAGGCTAAGAAAAGAGGGCGAAGGGATGGGTAGGAGAAAAGTGGATGTGACCATAAAGGACAACACAAGCATCCTTGTGTTGACAAAATTATTCCGTATCCTGGACTCTATCAATGTCAAACGCTGGTTGTAGTATTGCACTATAGTTTTGCAAGATATTTACCACTGGAGGAAATTAATAAAGGATATGAATTTCTTACAAATGCATGTGCTTTGCTTCTACAATTACTCTAAAATAAAAATTTAATTAAAAAAATAAACCCATAAATCATACAATTTATTGAGCACCTACTATATGGGCAGGCCCTATGTAAGGTACTCAAATGAATATATTATTTAATCTTCATAAACTCAATAAAGATTATGCCTATTTCCTAAATTATTTTTCTGGAACACTGGTTCTTTGTGACATTAACAGCCTTCTTTGAGAGGTGTTCTATAAAAAGGGTTTCTTAGTCAAGTAGTTTGAGAAACAAAATTTTTTTTTAGTGTAGGATATTTTTAAAAAAAATTTATTTATGTATTTTTAGACAGAGAGGGAGGGAAGAAGAAAGAGAGGTAGAGAAACATCAATGTGTGGTCGCCTTGTGTGCGCCCCCTCCTGGGGACCTGGCCTGTAACCCAGGCATGTACCCTGACTGGGAATCGAACCAGTAACCCTTTGGTTTGCCGGCCTGCACTCAATCCACTGAGCCACACAAGCCAGGGCTAGCCTAGGATTTTTAAAAGCCTTTAATATAATAATGTACATTACAAACAAAAGGAGGCAATCAGATATAATTTTCCTCAAATTTCTTTAATTTTGGAACTCTTGTTTTCACATGATGCTTATTAATAACTTACTTAAAGAAGTAGCATTCCTTGTAATTATACTATAATAAATGTTGGGTTATAGTTTTCAATCAATATCCCTGCTGCAGTTCGGTTTTATCTATTACTTCAATTCAGGCTATAGATTTACTGCCTGAATGTACTCTAACCATAGTGTTGATGATCCAAACTACTTACCATGTAACAATATAAATAGATCGGAGTACTAATGTGAAGACCAACATTCCATACATGACCTAAATAAGAAAGAAAAAATGGAGTTAGTAAAATCATTATTCTTTGGCAAATGAAGTATATTTTGCCTATAAAAATGGCCCTCCCAATTAAATGTAAACATCATTAATTTCAAAAACTATGTAATTATATAATTAACAGTCATGCTAACCTTTGAGGAAAAATTAAGAGCCTTCTTATGAATAACCAGAAGCAGCAGTTCTATGTCAATTTAAATATCTGCTGAAACCTGAAGAAATGCTGTAATTTTGCTTCACACTTCCTAGACCCTTCCCTTCTCTTTAGCTTCACTTTCAGCAATGATTCTACTTCCCATTTTATAACAGTATAAATATGAACTCTTTTAAACTCTTCTTCCAAATGTTTCTGTATTCACAAATGTGCCTTCTCCCTGCTCTCTTTCTCCCATTCCAAGTCTGGAAAGAAACTGGTGCCTGTTTCTTCTTAAGTAAATCTAATTTGGGTTCTTTATTCCATGTATGTGCTCCCACATGTTCCTAGACTTGGCTCCATCAGCTAATCTCTTCTCTCTTCTCTACTGGGCCCTGTGTAAGTACTACTACCTGGAAAACCGAACCCAGTGGAAAAAATTAAACTTTTAAATGTGTGAAATAGTAAATACAAAAATTACATGGAATACGAGTTACATGTACTTAACAAATGCTTATAAAGACACCAGCCGGGAGAGTGTCACTCAGGACCCTGGTGAACACCCAGAGTGCTGCCGGTGTCCTTCCCGGTGCAACCCTCTTCCCTCCTCCTCAGAGGAAACCGTTTTCCTGCCTTTTATGATAAGCATTTTGCTTTTCTGTACATATTTACTAACTTAAACTTGTCTCCTAAATATGCATTCTTAAATATTTGTGTTTTGAATTTTAATTGAATTTCAATTTACAACAGAATATTGTAAATAGACACGTCTTTGTCTTTTTTAAAATCCAATTATGTTGTGTATGTAGCCTTAGCTCATTCATTTTTGGAGTTATATGCTATTGAATTGGATAAAAATGCCACAATTTATTTACCCATTCTTACGCTGATGGACATTCTTAGGTTATTGCTAGTTTCATTGCTATGAACATTCTTATTCACATATCCTAGTGCACATTTACACAAAAAAACTAAGTAAATACAGTATTAGATTAAAGCCTCTTAGAGTGTGATTGCCAGCTGAAATCCATAACTGCACCTGTGCTGCTCTAGTGATGGGCAAGAAAGGCCTGATCCTTGCCCTCACAGCAATTATAATCTAGAGAGAAGAGAGAAGCAAGCAATTAAAATGCACTATTTTAACTCTGCGATGGGGACTGCACAAAATCCACCTAAAAGCGTAGAAAGGCCACCTAATCTAGACTTATGCAGATCAGAGAGACTTTCATGGAGGATATGATGTTTAATCCCGTAACTGAAGCATTTTCAGGAGAAGTATTATTGATTAAAAAGGAAACATTAAGAGAAGGTGGAAGAGTGTAACTAGCTCAGCTCATATTCTGGGGACTAGAAGAAAGTAAGGATGTCTAGAATATATTTGAAACAAGAGCAGGAAAAATGAAATCTAGCTTTTTAAGTCATGTTAACAGTTGGACTTTTATCTTAAGAGCAATAGGAAGACAATGAAAGTTTCAGCAGTAGTTCAGCATGACCACTCATGTATTAGAAAGAGGTTCCTGTCTTGCTGGGTGGAAAATGACTTAGAGGAGGCCAGACTGATGGGGAAAAGGTCAAAGACAAGACATTGCAGTAATGTAGGTAAGAGACAGGGCCTAAACTAGGGCAGTGTCAATGGGAATGGAGAAAAATGTACAAACTAGGGACAAGCCCTAAGGGACATATTTAGGGCTCAGACAGAAATTTTGATATGGGAGTTAGAAAGAGTTGGGAAAGTCAGTGATGGCCTGATTTATAACTTGAGCAGCTAGGTACACGGTGAAACTGTTCAGCAGGCTAAATAATATTTGAAGAGAAGAAAGACTGAGTGGAGAAAAACAGTGCTTTCATTTTTGGACATGTTCGGAATTTGAGGTACCAGTGAGATATCCAAGTAGAGATCTCTAGCAGTAGTTGGATATCTGGGTCTGTAACTTAGAAGAAAAATCTGAGGTGAAGAAAGAGATGTATGAGTCATCAGCATACAGAAATCAAGAGGAATAATTCATCAGGAAGTATGTTAAATGTATCAGATATTGGATAAGGAAGAACCTGTACCCTACCAGTACAGTGGAGCTTTTTCAAATTAATTTTCTTCTTTCCACAAGCACCTCCACCCTATACATTGTGCTTCTCCCCAAGGAATCTGTGGCAAACTCTACTAGTGGCAGTAGTCCATATCCATTCTCTGCTTCTGTTTTTCCTTTTTTAATCCTCACACAAGGACATTTTTTCATTGTTTTTAGAGAGACAAAGGGAGGGGAGAGAGAAAGACATCAATGTGAAAGAGAAACATCGACTGGTTGCCAACCCTCATCCTTTTGGTGCATGGTACGATGATGCTCCAATCAAGTGAGCCATACTGGCCAGGCTCTCCTTCTGTCTTTATGGAAGACTGATTTTATTCATGTGGCAATATGTCTAGCTATAAAAGCTTGATTTCCCAGGCTCTCTTGCAGCTAAAGGTGGTCATATGACCTTCATAATTTTTTCTATACATATTCTAATATTAGCCATTTTAAAATTAAAAAGATAATAGAATACATACTTTTCTGCTCCTTGTAATTTTCATGTAAAAATATTTTACAAGGAATTTCTTTATCTTCCATATTTAATACATTTTTCAGCCTCCCAGTTCCAAAGACTATAAAATATTACTGGTGTTTTCTCTCTGCTAAAGCATCCTAAAACTAAGCTGTGTGTAAACTGGGATCGGGTATTTATCCTCAAGAAACCTATCACCCTAGGAAAAAAAGCAGGTTGTGTGTTTGTTTATCAGTAAAAAGAAAACTAAAGTATTTTGAGAAAAGCAGAAAAAAATAAATGTTGCATTCTGTGAGTTGCACTAAGATGGAAACATTTGAAGATGGACAAAACTGAGAGGTAATGGGGAGGAATTAAGTGGGACTTTGGAAACCATAGAAATATAATAATTATTTTGATGATAATGAGGGAGACCAACTTTCATTATTTCTTCAGAGTTAACATTATTCTCCATGACTCATTCCTTATGGTCTTCCATTCCATAGATTAAGCCAAAACACAGGCAAGAATTCCAAATAAAGAGCTGGTTTATTTTTTTACCAAGTCCTATTGAACAATGAATGATAGCCACTGGACTAGGTGGTCATCATTCAAAGATGAAAAGACACATTACTCTTTTCTTCAGTGGGCTCAGTCCAATAGAAACATGTTTAATCAAATCAAGCCCTTGGACCTGGTTTCCAACTTCCATTTTCCAATAAAAGGGATCAGGGCTCCATGGAGATTTGGCTGATTCCAGGCCTGGTGCAGAGAAAGAACAAAATGGAGTATCTTGCACTGAAAAGTAAGAAATACTCAAAGAATAATGAAAATACGTCAAAAAGATACAGAAACCAGCTTGAAAGGACTCCAAGGCCAAATCTGAGACAGTTTGTACATCAAAAATCAATAATGATAGTAACAAATCATAACCCATTGGATAAAATAGGAATGTATAAATCCATAAAGATAAAATAAATACATTTAAAGTTTAATAATTAGAGGAATGTTCAACAGTCTGAGAGTCCTTTTGTACAAAGCTCTTGTTAATTGTGAAGGTACAAGAATAACTTCACAATGGAGAAGGCTGGTAGACAGCATCTTAAGGTCGCGCCCCAACATGTGTATGACACACTTTCAAGAGGCTCGGGCGGGGGAGTTCGTTCTACTCTTCTAGCAGTTTTTCTGTAAGTTTGGTGTTGTTTAAAAATAAAAGTACAGTTAAGTCCTCACTTAAAGTTGTCCATAGGTTCTTGAAACTGCAGCAAAACGATGTATAACAAATTTTACTATAGGCTAATTAATATAAACAAGAATTAAGTTCCTATAGCATCTCATCAATATTATCACAAAAAGACAAAACAATGTTATTTGAGGACCTACTGTAAACAGTAAAGAAAGAGTTCCATACTAACATACTAGAAAAATTCTTAGCTTCACGCCTGCACCTCCTGAGGGAGCTCAAGTCTCTCACTCTGGGAGAAAGGCACTCAGCCCACCTGTGGTCAAGAAGAATTCAGCAGAAGGGGAGGTGAGGTAGGGATTTGTGGATAAGGTCCCTAGTTAAAGTCAAACCAGGCTAAGAGGCATTTTATTTGGGGACTTAATATAAGTCACTCTGACATGATAAGGTTGGTGTTTTCTATATAATTAAATGCTGGTTTAAATACTAATAAGCTAAATGTAGATGTTACTACACTTAGTAATATAACTATAAAATAAATGCACGAGTCTCATAAGGCAATGTGGTCTATTAGTAAAAAACATAGTTTTTATAAAAATTCAGAGCTGGTTTAAAATCCTAATTCTGCCCCAAGTATACAGCTTCCTAATTCATCCCACTTTTAAGTGCCAAAATTACTGAAATAGATCTTATCATGTCATGCCTCTGTCAATGGCAAAAGTGTAAGATCAAAACTTTAGCACGACATTTTCACAGTCAGGTTCCAGTCTTCCTTTCTCTTCTCATGTTCTGCAGGATTTTATATTTTAGCATAGGATTTCTCAAATAATAGTCCCCAGAATACTACTGTGCTGGGAGATGTTAAGTGATATTCTATAAAAAAGAATTCTATAGTCCAATAAACTGTGCTCAACTGGCATCTGCTGTGCGAAGTCTTTCTGAAATCCTTCTATAGATATTACTTAATCTCTTTTTATTCCCGAAGTACTTCACTTATATTTGACTTTGGACAGTTTTTAAAGTTGATAACTGAATTCTGGTTTACCTACAGCACAGGGAGCAAACACGAGGCCTGTGGCGGGCCGAATCCAGCCCTCCACCTTGTTTTATCCAGCCCAGCACCTTGTTTCTACTCGGTGGCAGCACCGAGCTCCTTGCCCCTAGTTAAGGAGTAGTTACATTTGCACAGTCCTAGAATTACATTCGGCCCTTTGAAGGCAACTGAGAAGCTGATGTGGCCCCAGTGAAAACGAGATTGACACCCCTGAGTCCTAAAGTAAAGCAGAGCTATACTTAAGTTTTACATATTCAGTCTTTACATTTTTTTCTAATAAATTCATCGTTGCACTAAAATCTAAAATAAATATGTAATAAAATTTAAATAACATTTTTCATTCTAATAACACATCTTTCTGATAATAAATTAGATTCCACAGTATACTGCCACAGGGACATCATCACATCATAAGACATCTGGGTTTTAAAATTAAAAAGACCTGAGTTAAACTCCCAGCTCTGCCGCTAACTAGGTGAGAAACATGGGCAGATAGACTCAACCTTTCTGACTCTCACCTACAAAATGAAGATGGTAATTTTATACAGTTTGCTGATATTTTTAAGATAATAGGTAAGTCAATCCATATAAACTGTATGAAAGAATATATAATACTCAGCACCTAACAGATATTTAAAAATGTCAGCTTCTTTTCTAAGTGTGCTTACATATTAATTTCCTTACATCTCTAATTTGTAATAAAATGGCACAAATGAAACATAATAAAATTAAACAAATCTGCTTACATTTCTGCTTTTCAAACTGTTGTGTCCTTTCTTAAAAACCATGAGGGCCAAATTAGAAGGGAATAAAATACTGACCTGTCCCCTCTAGAAACAATCTCTAGCAGACATCTACTTTGGCAGGAGGATTTTAAGCCACAGTACTCTTTGAAACATTAGATGAGCTTGCATCTGAGATACTCGAGTACTGATGGGTCAATTAGCTGCTCAAAGAGGGTTCACTGATTTCTTAAATGCTCAAATGCTCTTTTAATCTAGTTTCATATATGCTTTTTTGTTTCCTTAAGATACATTGATATTTCTATTGAATGTGGCATATTTGTGTATTGTACCCTTGGCATGGCTATCAAATTAAATAAACAGCATTTGGCTCTCTTTTGGAGATGTTTGGACTGCCTTATATTTAATATAGTAAAGTAGAACTGTTATCAGTATTTTCTCCCTCTGGGAAGCTAACCTGATTAGCAAGCCAATCATCCCAGTTGTGGCAGATACTTTTAAAGTGTTTATTAACTCTTTCCTTCTAATAGCATGCCACTACGTACCTCTCTAGGTCCAACTCACATATCTCCTTTCGAAAGCTTTCCCTGATTATCACAGGCAAAAACTTATGCATGTCATCTTATGCCTCAATATGTACTTTTAGTACCACACTATATTGTTTATTTTTGTGCTTTTGTTATTTTATATTAATTATTTTTATATTACTCTTGTGAAATAACTTCTTTTTTTTAACACTTTACAGTTGAGGAAATTGAAATATAGGCACAGTGAAATTTGTTCACAGATAACAAAGTATCAAGAAATCAAAGTGATAAGAAATCAAGATTCCAAACTCTCGAGACAGAGCTCCTTTATATTAGACAATATTGCTTTCCCCTCCTTTTCCATTATGTTCAAGATTTTGAAAGTTATTGTAAATCCGGTCACAAACTCCAAAACAATTTTCCACTTAAGAATTCCAAAATAACTTTTCTAAGTTTCTGTACCTAAGAACATCAACAGTTAGAAGCCTGACAGCTTAGTCTTCAAGCAGCCTCCCTTCCTCCTGCCGTTCTGGCCCAGCCTGGCAGCCACCATGAGGGTTTTCTATGTTTTGCTGCAGCCTCTCTGCCTACTCTTCTCCCAGGTGGCCCCAGGCATTGGCCTTCTGACGGGGCTATCCCACAGGTATCCAGGATACCAATGTGCCACTTTTCCCCGTGCCCACTCTACGCTGGGACTGAAGGCACCTGGTACAAAGGGAGGGCCAAGTGTTGCCTCTGAGCTGGGAGCCATGAGATGAGACCAGACGCCATGCGAACGATTTGTAAGCATTGTTTTACTTTTAAAAAAGACCTTTAACACATTGTATGTGGGAAACGTATTTATACGTTTTACGTTGACTGGTAGTAGAGCGCGCAATAAAAACTACCCACAAACAATGTGTTAAAATAAAAACACCAACAGTTACATGAAAGAATAAAAGCCATACTCCAAACTTTGACAAATAGAAAAATCTCAGAAAATGCAATTTTCTTTAAAGAGCAATACCTTTGTTGTTTTTAAACACTAGAATAAGTAATAATTTAGCTGTATGCAATAGATGTACCTTGTAATCCTCTCCTGAGTCATCTAAGCAGACAGACCGTGCCCTTGTCTACATTAGCACTGCGTTTACATGTTTATTACAAGGTATATATACCACAAATATTATTTTACAAGTCTGTTTTCCTGACCAGGTAGTGTGCACCTTGAGAGAGCAACTATATCTTATTTGCCTCTGTATATCAGTATTACTTAGTGTTTCCCGAGTGTTTAAGTATGTGCTAAGCGTTCTTTGTATGCATTATCTCATTTAATCCTCGGACAACTTTAGGAGATTACTATACCAATTTTAGGTTGTATAATAAGCTCCTTAAGAGCAGGGACCTCTTTATTTCATTTACTAATATATCTCCTGTGCCTAGTATAACACCAGGCACTTACAAAGCTCAAAAAGTTCTGTAACTTACCCAGGGTATACAGATAGTAAGAGAAGAGACTAGACTGGAATCCAGGTCTGCCTCACTTTAAAGTCTTACTTTGATTTCAACTTCCAGCTCAGAATTTAATACTGAGAAGGTACACAGTGGACATCCAATGAATGAATTAATGTGTTCTACCTTCAGGCTGCTTATCCACGTCACCTTAGCATCCCTCTGCTTCTTCACTTCTCTATTCTAATTTTTAATCTCTAAGCCTAGGATATAAGTCATAGCTATAAGCATTCATTCTGCCTCCTTCCCTATCAGCAAACATTACCATTCTACACAGAGAAGAAAATATTTACTAGTGGAAAAACACATGGAAATTGCAGCATAGGAAATTATATGAATAGCTTGTTACTTTTATTATATAAACACAATGTCAAATAGGTTTAAACACAAAATGGAAAACTGATGGTCATAAACTTACAAAAATTAACCTCAAAATTTCCAAAAAATTTTCTGGTAGTTGATTTTTCTTTCTTATAAATGTAAATAAAAAAGTTATAAACACTGAGCTATTTTTTTAAATAAATAAACTTACTTGATTTTTTTACACTGTATCAATAAATCTTTCTAAATAATGGTATCACTTCAAACTATAATAAACAGGGAAGTGAGTTGGGGGTATCCTCTCTGTAATACCTACTTTAGTATGTCTACTTTCAGCTGGCCTGTAGAAAAGCAAGGCACAATAATGTGGTTTTGGAATTTATTTTAACAAACCAATTTCTGCCCTGGCCAGGTAGCTCAGTTGGTAGAGCATTGTCCTGATACATTAAGGTTATGGGTTCAATCCCCAGTCAGGTCACAAACAAGAATGAATCAATGAATGCATAAATAAGTGGAACAACAAATTTCTCCCCGCTCCTCTCTCTCTCAAAAATATAATCAATAAATAAATGTATATAGTCTGTTTTAAAAATAAGTAAAAGTTAGAGAAACTTACTTATTATATAAGCACAAAGTATTCTAAAACTACAAGGGCTCTGATAATCCTGAAGTGTGTACTTATTTCTTTATTTTTATTTGCTAGTTTGTTAAAAGAATGGTGACAGGAATTGAACAAATCTAGGTTACAATCCTCCTGGCTCTGCCTCTTAATAACTGTGTAACCCTGGGGCAAATTTACTTATTATTTCTAAGCTCATTTTCCTTATAATGTGGACAATCCCTAATTTGCAGGACTGCTGGGGAGATGAGTCTGTGTAGTAATGAGCATAGTGCCGGGCGCATGGTGGCACTCAATAAACCGTAGCTAGCTCTCTTTAGTTAGGGTCTGCTACTTTATTTCATTCTGGTTTCATTATGAGATGCATTTAAATCATTATCTCCTACAACAAAGTTTCCCGTGTTTGCTCCCCTCAATTTAAATAAACTTCCACCTCAAAAAACTTATTAAAATATATAATGGGGGAAATATTCAAAGACTTTTCAGTCTACCTTTGCAACAAAAGAATGTCACAAAAAAGACTTTATATATATATGTATATATATATATATATATATATATATATACATATATATATGCATATAAGGCTCCCTGTTTTTTTCCCCCCTGCTTATAAGAGCACCGCTGTGGCTGCATTACTGACTTCCAACAGCCAGGTGGGCCTGGGCATTGATGGTTCCAGGTGGATTCCTGTTACCTACGGCTGGCTCCTGTAGGCACTTGAGTTTGCAACCTCTGTTTTCAACACTGAGTTTTCTTAGGATATCTATCATTTCATTCTCAAAAGTTGTATCTATTTATTATTTACCAGAAAAGGAAAACAGAAGGCAGTGAAGTATGGTTAACCAATCAAATTTGTAATAATTTTTAAGAATTACCTGATGGAATACAGGCTCCTTTACCTTAAGGTAAACCTGTAAAATATTAAAACACATGTAAATGAAGCACATTATGGAGGGGGGAAGAAATCCTATTCCAACAATTCTGCATATCCCAAACCTCTCCTGCTTTCCTAGTCGGGTTACTTAGACTTGACTCCAGCCGTATCAATCCAATCAGATTAGGTGGCATGCCACAAGAGGGCCAGTACCTACAGGTGGGTCTCCCCTGGTACTAGCTCTACCATGGTCAACTACATGTTTCAAAATGGTTGCGGATGACTTGGGCCTCTTGGCCTCTGCATCAGCATCAAGGAGGGACAAAAGTGCAGATACTCATGATGGCTGAAGAGGTTATGCCTGACAACCCTGTTCTGCAGCAGGAAGAACACTGACTTTAGAGTTAGAGACATAAATTAAATTTCAGACTCTGCTACTCACTTGCTGCAAGTAACTATAAGTGGCATCACAACCTAAAGACTAATTTTCCCTTATTATAATGGGAATAATAATGTTATGAAATAAGAAGGTAAAATACATGAAAAGTGTCTAGCATAATAGGTGTTCTATAAGTGAAAACATCTAAAACAAATCTCTTGTGCTTCTGCTTCCCAAAACCTCTAACTCACCTCACCTAGATGTGTTCCCAGTTACACAAAACCTAGTTTTAGGCTCCTGAGTGGTTAAGTTCAATGCTTATTCAAGATTTAGCATGCATTTATTGCATCACAGGAGTACGCCTTTAAAATGACACGGTAGAGAGGAATAAAAATTCAAATCATAATCTTGAAATGACTCCCATCACTTACAAGACAAACTCTAATTTTCAAAGCCTTCCGTGATCTCACTCCTGCCTTTTCTGTTTGGCTTCACTGCTTTCCTCTTGTTTCTTTTTCATTCTAGGCTCCAGAAAGCACAGTGCTTCCCCAAATGTGCTATATTCATGTTTCTGTATCTTTAAACAAGATGCTCTTCACTTTGTTCAGAAATCCTCCCCTGCTGGCAAACACTCATCTTTCAAGATTCAATTCAAACTGCACCTCTTTCTTGAACGCTTTTCTGATTCTGTCTCAATTCAGCAAAAGCAACCACTCATTTTCCTCTGTACCCTCATTGTCCAGGTATACATGGTTCTATGCCTACAGACAATGTCATATAGTCTATTTAGAAATGTTTCACCACGCTCTTGCCCAAGAGCCTCGTGAGCTTCTAATCATCAGTGAAAACCCAGTTTAACCCCTGGCTGGTGTGGCTCAATGGATTGAGTGCCGGCCTGCCAACCAAAGGGTTGCTGGTTGGATTCCCAGTCAGGGCACATGCGTGAGTTGTGGGCCAGGTCCCTAGTAGCAAGGGGCTCATGAGAGGCAACCACACACTGATGACTTTCTCCCCCTCTTTCTCCCTTCCTCCCCCTCTCCCTAAAAATAAGTGAATAAAATCTTAAAAAACAAAAATAAAAACAGCTTAAGTGCTTCTCTATGGTACGTTCCTTGACCCACCCAAGAAATCTTCATTGAATATTCCTTCATTTCATTCTTATATAACTCGTTTTTGCCTCTATTACTGTAATTGATCATCTTTTGAAGCAATTCATTATTTATATGTTTGACTTCCCTACTAGAATGTACTCCTTAAGCAAAGCAACTGCTTCTCAGACATTTTTGTATTTTCTACTGCCTGATATGGTAGTCTGCAATAAAAGTTTGTTGAAACGAGTATCTCTCTAGATAAAAGGCAATTAATTCACTTGTGGGGGAAAAGAAGCTATCTCAACTTATTAGGAAATGTTAAAATAGACATATTAGGCTCATGAGAGCAGATCTAATCTCTCTCTCTCTTTTTTACCAAATAGGAGGTAATACATCTATGAGAAAAAGTTTATTTTTTCCATTGCTACTGAACATTAGCCTTTTGATTTTTTCCCCATTTTTTTAAAAAAAAACAGAGTTTAAAAAATTTGTTTCAACTTTTTGTTGAGAAATAACAGCTAGACAGGAATTTAAAAAGTAGTATTTGTGAACTATGTATAGAAACATTTCGGTTTGAACAGCATGAAGCAAACACTGGAAGCAAAATGTGCCAAACTTCATAAATGCCTAGTTGACATGCTCAATCTACTAGATGAAACATGACTTACTGTGGTTACTATTAAACTGAATAGAACTAAGGTAAAAAGCAGGTGGTAGTTTACTGAGTTCTTGATCTTGAAACATTCAAACCTTAAAAACAAACAAAAAAAGAAAATGGCTTTAGAATATACAACTAGAAAAATAAATAAAACGCTGTTTTACCATCTGCACACGAGCTTCTGAGTCTACTGATGCCCATTTCTTCCATCTGTACCCTCACCTTAGAGAACCTGTACTGTCTACAGCATCCAAGAGTCGCGGGGACCAGGAGAAGGCACCTTTCTTAAACAGGGCCAATGAGATGCTCTCCCCTGAAAATCTGGAGTCTGGTGGCTGGACTAAGGCATACTATTATAGAAAATATCATTCTATTACAATTGTCTCTTTACTTACCTGTCTCCCCAACCAGACCATGAATTCCTTGTGTGCAGGGATAAACTCTTTTTTTGATATATCTAATCACTGGGATAGTATATTCAGTAAATAAGTATGAACAAATACATGGCCATCAGTTAAATGTCCAATGTTTGAACCTTCGTTTCAGTACAAGCAGCAGGAGGGTTCTCTCAGTTTACTAATTAATTGGCTGTGGGAATTGGACCCAACTCCTATTTCCTTTCCTGTAAAGAACGGTAGTAGCCCAGGTGATTTCCAAGATCTCTGTTATCTTTAAATTCTGGAACTTGATGACTTAGTAATAAGAGCTCATCTGAAAGTATATTTTCTAGATCAGGGTAGCAAACTACAGCCCAAGGGCAATTTCTCAGGCTAAACCTGTTTTTTTCTAAAATATAATTTTATTGGAACAGTCACACTCATTTGCACATCTCCTAAGCTAGACAGCAAAGTTGAAGAGTTGCAACAGAGATCATAGGCACAGAAAGGCAAAAATAATTACTATCTGACCCTTTACTGAGAAACATTTCAGAAGAACTTTTAAAAATATATATTCTTTGAACTATTCTGAATTTTACATATTTTTGGAAGATATTCTTGAGCTAGCAATGATGATCATATTGAAAATAATCAGATTGCTATCACATGAGGGGCTCAGAGATGTCTTAAGTATTAGTGCTAGGGAACAGAACATATACTTAGAAGGTAAAGCTATTAAACTTATAGCTCAGTTTCCAAATCTGACACTTACTAACTACATGACCTTAGGTAAGTCACCTAAGCAAAAGTTCTACTTATATCTGTGGGCGGAAAAGAGGTCCCACGGAAAGTAACTTCATGGGGGATCTGGTCATAAACTCCTAAGTGATCAGGTCATGGTGGGTGGCAATGCCCCAGACACATGACTTTTTAGTAAAAGGTTTATCTTTGCCATAAGCAAGCCCTGTCCATTGTTTCTGTGCACCTAGGTTAACACACCTTCAAAATAAGCTTAACCACACTTAAGAAAGCACCTAATCTTGTAAACTATCCAATCCCTGCATTGCTTTCTCCAATCTTTATGTAATCTTCCCTCGTTCCCTCTTTAATTACAAATGGATAAAAGAAACTGTAAAACCATCATTCTTGGAGCATCTGAGATCTTGCTTTCCAGCAACTGTCATCAGTTTGGGCTCAACTAAACTCCTAAAAAACCTCTTTACAGTCTTGGACATTCCTTAGGTCAGTATATCCTCAGACCTAAGTTACTAAATCTGCCTGTGCTTCACCTCGGCACCTGTAATATGGGAACAATACACATTTACCTTACGCAGTTGTGAGACTCAGAGATGACTTGGTATCGCTAGAACAATTCCAGGTACAAAGTAGATGAATATTATTTTTATGGTATAAATATAGAATATTTATTTAAACATGTATACAATCGTAACTCAAGAAAGGGCAAATGATATAGCTTAAGTCAAACTTAAATAAGAGTCTAAATTGGCTGTAGGGTTTTGAGAATAAAAGTTAATAAACAACATTGTAACTTCCCAGAGACTATACTCTCCACATTAATATCACAAGTATCATAATCTACACTATTACAATCTCTCAGTAATATTAACTGAGTTATATAACTTAATTTGCTATGACGCCAATATGAATTTTACAATACATCAAACAATAGAATTTTACACCTAAATACTTACATGCAGTACACAAACATACAACAGCTGTAAATCATTGGGAGTTCATCCAATAGCTATAAGAAACAAAGGCAAATAATAGGACATGAATACTGTAGAGCTGTAATTATACAAATCAAAATGAAACATGGTTAAAATGGTCACCTCATTATCTATTATGTTTTACTAATTCTTTTATATACTTATTATTGTCTAATTTACACTGTTCATTTTTTTTAATAAGTAAGCTTATCCACCCATCTAGCTGTCCTAATGTACATATCCAAGTATAATGCGGGACTCATGAGGCAGCTCAGATCATTTGGTATCACAATCTATATCACAAACTATAATATCGTATTTCCAGGAAAGAATGATGTCCACCACGTAGAGGTCTATGGGTCCTATCAGTATTCTTTTGCATTTATGTCCTTTCCTGCAGGACTTAAAATCAGTAAAATGTCCACTAACATACACAGGAAGAGGTATTGTGGTCAGGGAAGTCACTTAATCTAAGTAACCTATGTCTCAGGAAAATAATATTATTAGCAATAGTAATTATAGCTATTATGTATTAAACTAGAGTGAGACACTAAGCTAAGTGTTATAGATAAGTTTTGCTAACCCTTAAACCAATCCTAAACCCAGTCATACATGTGGGGAACGCACTGAAGGGAGAAAGCATAGATGTAGGAGGAACAGCCACTCGGCTACAGCAGTCCATGCTAAGCAAAGTTGCCACTTGAATTCAGGTAGCAGAACTGGGAACAGACATAAGTGAACAGGTTTGAGAAATACTTAGGAAGTAAAGTAAACATGGAGTTGTAGTTGATTTGATACAAAGGTGAGGGATGCCAGTGATGACTCCCTAGTCTTTTGCCTAAACATTTCAGATGATGGTAATACAATTTACTCAGATTGTGAAAACAGAGAAAATTACAAGAACAATTTTCAATATGTTGAGTTTGAGGTATCTGTGAGGCAGCCAGGTGATGTCAATCAGGCACTAGAAATACAAATCTGTAGTGGAAAAGAAAGGTCTGGATTCCAGATTTTGACTGCATGTTTATTTGTTTAAAGAACTAAATTGAACTAAGTATATGTTCAATATGTTCAAAGAACACAGATTTTATTTTTATTTTTTAAAGATGTTATTTATTTATTTTAGAGAGAGGGGAATGGGGGGAGAAAGAGAGGGAGAGAAACTCTATGTGAGAGACCAACATAGATCAGTTGCCTCTTGTACACGTCCCAACTGGGGATAGAACCTGCAACCCAGGCCTTTCCCTGACGGGGAATCGAACTGGTAACCTTTTGCTTTGCAGAACGATGTTCAACCCACTGAGCCACACCAGTCAGGGCAAAAAGAACACAGATTTTAAAATCTGGGTGATACAAGTAGAATAGTCTTATTTTAAAACCAAAATAGCAAAAATTAGGACTGGTAAAAGAGCACAGGGTTCCAGAGCAGGGAGGGGTATGGATCTGAAGATGAATCTGGAGAGGCAGGCAGGGGCCAGATCACAGAGCCTGAGGTTCACATTTATAGGCTTGAACTATAAAGAGTGACATGATGGGAGAGCAGAGACTACATTTTACGTATCTTATCCCCAGCACTTAGGCAAAGCCTAGCAAATATTGCCCAAAGAATAAAAGCAATTAGTTTTGTTTGTAGGAAGAGTTACTTCTGTTCCAGTGTGACAAATGGATAAGGAAAAGTGGGAACACCAATGATAGGAATCTGGGTTGGAGATGATGGACTAGGGTAGCGGCAATACAGAGAGCCAGAGGCAGATGTATCCGAGAGTGAGTATGAAGGTTGAATCAAGAGGTGTTAGTGGTTGTAGAGGTGAGACAGGAAAAATTAAAGATGAATCATAGGTATCTGGCTTGGGCTTTCAGTGTAAGATGGTTTTATTCACTAAAATAGGGAACAAAGGAGAAAGAAAGGTGGTATTTATAAGTGGAACATCTATTGTTTATAAAGTCTGAATTAGCTTACATTATTACCTAACATTTATGCTATTTTTATTTTTGTGTTATAAATAAAGTTATAGGTGAGCAAGCATTTTTCTTTGGTTTTATTTTCTAGGATAAGTAAAATTTTTTAGTTATGAGAAACAGCTAAATGCATTCTTTTTTTACTAGCATTTATTTTTTCTAATATCAAACATATTATATGTTCATTACAGAATACTTGGAAAAGGCAGAAAAACACAAAGAAAAAAATTAAGAAACTGCCTTTAATTTTACCCTCCCCAAGATTATCGATAACTGTATATTTTGATTAGTGAAAGCAAAAAGGAATGAGTTGAATGAGTAAATAAATGAAAAAGGTCTGGGAGAAGACTTCAAAAACTTAAGATCTTTATGCTCCTGCCACGCTTGGTACAAGACACTGTCTTAAGGCAGATAAAGGAAAAAAAGAATACAAAGTGAAAGTCGGACCCTAATCTTGTCTTTAACTTCCTGTGTAACTTTAGTCAAGTCACTTCCCCATCGTTAGGCTATTTTTCATTTATGAAATTTGTAGATTGGACTAAATTTTAAAAACCTCTTCTCATATTAAAGCTCAATGATTTTAAATTGTCCTTTGGTACCTTTACACCCCTGTATTTGAAGGCCATCTGTTCACTCTACCCCATCTCTAATATTAGTTTTCCTCAACCCCATCTCCAAATGCATTGCTACTGGCTAGCTGCCACAAGAATATAACACATGAATACTGAGAAAGTAGGTAGTCATGCTCAAAATGTTACCTTTCACAAGGGCACACATAACTCAATAGTACTCAAACGAGTGAATCACTAACAATGGGTCAGTAATGGTGGTTTCAGATGTTTGGACTGGCTGAAGGAAATTATTATTTACTAAACATTTATTTACCAGCTCCTATGCTGGTATTGTACTTCCACACATGCCAATCAACTGATCCTCATAATACTCTTAACAGGTATTATTAGACCCATTAGATAGATGAGAAAACTAAGGTTCAGCAAGATTAAGTGGCATATCTACACTCAAACAGCCAGCAAAGGGGCAGAATCAGAACTGGAACCTATGCAGCCACCTAGACATAATAAATCTGAAGAAAATGCCATTCATGCTCTAAATCATTCTCAAGACAGAACTGTCAATATTTTGCTTGAGTTCACTTTAGGCAGAGCTGGGCTTCCAATACCTCTATAGATATAACAAGCTAAGTTCAGGCTTGCAGAATGGTCTATTGATCACCAGAGCCAGGTAAGTGGCAGCACTGCCATTTCTTACTTTACTTCAGTGACTTTGTATAACAAATGATGGCCTAACATAGTCGAGTCAAATTTATTCTGAAAGGAGGCAACACAGGGAGCCATTAAAGAGATGGAGAAGTCCTTCAATATTGATGATTCTTCCCTCCTCCTCAGTCACTGGGAAAATGGGTCATGTCATTTCTGCCTAGTTAGACGAGCACATAAAACCATAACTTTGTAGTCCAAAAGGGGAAGAAAATAAGGCATCTGTATAAGTTGCCCATGATAAAGTAGTATTATAGTGATGACAGAGCACAGAATCAAAGATCTCAGGATCAAAGGCCATCTTGTCCATCCAAATGTGTGTTATCCTGCTAACAACCTTGCCAACAATTAAGATTATATGCCAGTCAAAGTGTGTCCCACCTTTGCTCAAAATCCATTAATGGCTCACAGAGGATAAAGTCCAAGAGGCTTAAATCTGTCCTCTGGTTAGTTTTCCAAAGCACATCTTCATGTTGTTCAATGCCTGTCCCAGAGCAGGTACTGGATAATTTAATACATATTAGCTATTATTACTGGCAGCACTACCGCCATCATCACCACATACTTCCAATTCCACGGCTACAACCATAATGTACTACCTGCAGTATCCCTAGGTACCAGCCATGCTCTCACATCTCTGCACGTTCTATCTAGACGGCCTGGCAAATTCCTACTCATCATTGACAGTGCAACTCAAAACACGTGTCTGAGTCATCTGTGTGAAACCCGTTCTCTGCTCTTCCTACCCTAAACAATTCATTTCTTTTTCTATTGCCATAGGACTTTGTATGACCCTTTATCACTGCATTGTCTTCGCTCCTAGACAAATAACTCCCTGAAGAAAAAACATCTTTACCTGTGCATACCTGTTGCTCAGGTACCAAATACAAAATTTTGAACTAATTAAAGTGTTTGTTCAGCCTGTGCTTGGGTACCTCCAAGCATAGAGGACTCAAGATCTCCCAAGGCAGTTTTTGCCATCTACTAGCTCAGACAATTTTTCCCTATGTTGATCAAGATGTCTCTTCATCTTTAATGCCCCTAGGACCACACGGAATAAACTTAATACTGTTCAACAAGTCAACCCTTAAACACCGATTCATAAAACATTTATGCAGTGCTATATGGCAACCTGTGATATAAACAGGGGATATACCAAGGTCAACCAGAGAGAGTCCCTGCTCTTATATAACTCATATTTTGATAGAGAAGTCAGGCACATACATGGTGTATTTATAAAATAACACTGATAAGAGCAGTAACAGAGATGCACAGAGTGTTATGGAAGAACATATGACGAGAACATGTCCTGCCTGGGGCCATGGAAGGCTTCCTAGAGGGGCTGCCATCTTGCCTGAGACTTTGAAGAACAAACAGGAATTGTCAATGGGAGAGAGGGAAATGCAAGAGGGCCAGGCATGAACAAATGCACAAAATAGAGAGGCTAGTGATTAGAGCTCAGTGTGGGTCACTGAGCATGTCTTCTGTTCTTCCAGCTAAACATAGTCATGTACTGACCACACAGTGACATTTCCCTCCATCATGGAATGAATATATGACAGTGGTCCCATAAGATTATAATGAAAGATTAAAAATTCCTATCACCTAGTGATGTTGTAGCCAAAGTTAAGCCTTAGCGCACACATTACTCATATGCCTGTGGTGATGCTGGTATGAACAAAACTACTGCATTACAGCACACACAATTACAGTAGTAGGCTATACCATCTAGGTTTGTGTAAGTGCACTATGATGTTTGCACAAAAATGAAATTGTCTAACGCATTCCTCAGAACATATTCCGAGGCTAAGCAGCACATGACTGTGTTCCCAGTTCCTTCCCCTCAGGCATCACGACTAGGTTTTTAGTGCTTTCACCATTCCGGTGTCTTCCATCCAAACACATGCTAGGTTAGTCCGCAGAACTGAATGCACTATTCTTGTCACGATCTAATCAGCACAGAGTAGGCGAGACTTTCCCTTTGCTCACTCAAATGCCTAGCCTTGCCTGATGTCTTGTCTCAGCACATTCATCTGGTTGTTTCTTCATATACATGGGACAGATAAATAAATAGATAATATGGGCTTCAGCAAAACAGAAAACTTTTTTGCTTCAAAGGATGCTAGTAAGAAAAAGCAGACCTGGCTGGTGTAGCTCAGTGGATTGAGTGCAGGCTGTGAACCAAAGGGTCACAGGTTTGATTCCCAATCTGGGCACATGCCTGGGTTGCAAGCCAAGTCCCCAGTGGGGGCCACATGAGAGGCAACCACACATTGATGTTTCTCTCTCTCTCTTTTTCCCTCCCTTCGCCTTTCTAAAAATAAATAAATAAAATCTTTTCAAAAAAGGAGTATCCAGAACAAAGAACTCTTACAACTCAATAAAAAAAGCAAGTAACCAATTTTTTAAAATGAGCAAAGGGCCATCTGAACAGATATTTCTCTTACGAAGATATACAGATAGCCAATAAGCACATGAAAAGATGCTCAACATCTTTAGTCATTACGGAAATGCAAACCAAAACCACAGTGAGATACCACTTCGCACCCATAAGAACAATATAATCAAAAGGACGGACAATAACAAGTATTGCCAAGGATATGAAGAAATTGCTGGTGGGAATGTGAAATGGTACAGCCACTTTGAAAACAATCTGGCAGCTCCTCAAAAGGTTAAACATAGTGTTACTATGTGACCTACCAATTCCACTGCTAAGTATCCACCCAGGAGAATTGAAACATATCCACAAAAACTTGTATATGGATGTTCATAGCAGCATTATGCAAGAAAGCCAAAAAAATGGAAATAATCCAAATGCCCATTAATTGACAAATGGATAAACAAAATGTGGTATATCTATACCATGGAATATTAGCTGGCCTATATAAAAGAAGATAGACACAAAGGTCACATTTTGTATGATCCATTGCTAAGAAATGTTCAGAATAGGCAAATCCGTAGAGCCAGAGAACAGACTAGTGGCTGTGAGGGGCCAGGTGGAAGGACTAGTAGAGAGTGACTACTAGTGGGCTTCTCTCTGGGGTGATGAAAGTGTCCTGGAATCAGATTCTGTTTGAATGTCTTCAATTTTTATAGATTCTTTCCAAGCTCCTTCATGTTACCATAGATTCTTTGTACTTCTTTAAAAATAATTTTAATATTTATATTGTGTTTTCCCAGCCAGAAAACATAAGATTTTTCTGTGCTTGATTAGGTCAGCCCAGTATCTTATCATTTGCATATTCTCTAAGTCCAGCGTGGCATGCACAACAGACATGATACTTTCTTATAAACATGTGTTCAATATTAAAATGAATCTAAGAATTCTTATACATTTAATATAGCTACAATTAATAATTCATAGACTGCTGTACATACAGACCCTTCCAGAATTAACACTGTCCAATACTAGCCTTATGTGGCTACTGAGCACTTGAAATAAACCTAATCTAAGATCCACTGACACTATGAGATATAGATCTGATTTTAGGGTGTGAAACATTTCATTAATACATTTTTATATTAACTACAGGTGGAAGTAATCCTTTGAGTATATTGGATTAGATAAAATACATTATTAAAATTAATTTCACTTATTTTTATGTGTTTTTTTATTAGCGTGGCAACTTGAAAGTTTTAAATTACATATGCAGTGCACATTATATTTCTACTAGACAGTGCTGTTCTAGAAGTTTCTGGGTTAGTGATGAGGAAAAGAGAGGTCAAAGATTGAGGACTAGATATATAGCGTCCTTAGAGAATGGGCAATAAATAAAAATGCTTGCATAGCTCTAAAACTTTGCTAGCTAGAACAACCAGACCATTCCAATGGACTCCATAAGAGTGAAACATGAGGGAATACAGGCATTGAAGAATAAAAATATATTATTTTGAAAAACTGATTATGTCTTTTTAAGATGTCTCTATTGGACTCTATTCTTTGATCTGCTCTAAAATTGTACATACCTACACAGAAGGATCAAAAAGTTATATCCTCACTTGTCATGGACCACTTTTTGCTTGCCTCCTTACTTCATTTAGTCAATTTGGATCCCTTTGGCCTGAAGTAAAAACTCCAGAGATTTCATTTTTTTCCCAGTCTCTTGTCTTAATCATCCTCTAGCAACATGATCTTTTCTCAAATCTGAAGTGTTTCTGGATTAGAAGAAATAAGCATTTCGTCAATTTTGTCATTACTGACCTGCATTTCATATTTCAGAGTCATGTGGAAGCACCAGGATCCCATGCCTACCACTGAAATTAAAACAAACAAATAAAACAATTAGCAGTAAGTTCTTTGGAGGTAGCCAGAGTGACTTCAGAAGACAATAAGACATTACAAAGCACTGAGCTGTTTTTTTTTAAATTTTATTTATTTTTAGAGAGAGGGGAAAGAAGAGAAAAAAAGGGAAACATCCATGTATGAGAGAAACATGGATTGGTTGGCTGGTTGCCTCTTGCATGACCCTAACCAGGGACCTGGCCCATAACTCAGGCATGTGCCCTGACCAGGAACTGAACCTGCAACCTTTCGGTCTATGGGAGGATGTCCAACCCACTGAGCCAGCCCAGCCGGGACTCAAGGCACTGAGTTTTAGGGAGAACAAAGTTTACAAAATCTGTGGCAGGATATAGTGGACTGTGTAGAAGCTCTATAATTAATGACATTTTGGTGTAGAATAAAAGAAATATAGTGTAAGTTCTCTTAAATTCCCTCTAATACCTGATTTACTAGTTTAATCAATATTCTCCATCCTTTCTTTAAAATATATTACCTGATGCTCAGGGTAAGCTTTAATGCCATGGATGGTTAGCTATTCTTCAGTACTTTGCACATCTGATCCAAATAGCTGAAATGTATGCTCACTGGGAGTCAGTCAGCTGTGTTTATTCTGAACCCTGTTTAATGCCACTGTATTTAATTATCAGAACTATAACTGCAAAAAGAGCTACCATTTCTACAAAAACTATTTTGAATGCTTAAAATGCATTTAATAAAAGTAAGTTGCTAATAAAAATTGCTGTTGAAATTAGCTGTGGGTAAGATATATGTCACAGATTAGGAAAAATAGTAAAAATCTAAGATTCTACATTCATGTCTCCAAGTTCTTTCCAAGTGCCTCTATTTTAAATAAACTGCCTTCATTTTAGGGTTTAAAAAATGTTTTTTAAAAGACTAAGTAGAACTATAATTAGAATCGTATATTCAAAGGCCATGCCCCATACCATATAATTGTCAAAGATGGTACAACTACATTTTAAACAATACCAAGAGAACATTTGAAAAGGTTTGGATCCTTGAGTGAGGTGTGATTAAGCGGCCAGTCTCCCGTTCAGGGTGCATAGTCAAGGTTTTATTAAAATAAACCTTGAAGGTGGGTGTATATACATGTTTTCAATAATTATATGCCTTGACTTTTTAAAAATCAACTGACCAAATATCAACCCCTATCACTTGTGGTAATTGAGCTTCTAATGTGATTCCTTAGCTTCTGTCAACACACGTTTACTAAGCACCTCTTATTTGCCAAAGTCAGTTACAGACGCTGTGGGACAAAGATAAGGCCCAGCCCTTGGCCCTAGTGAAGCCTATAGTCTAATGGAGGGTACAGGCTGGTAACCAGAAAAGGCCGGTACAAGGAGGTATGGTACGGAGATACATAGAGAGTACCACGGGAGCACAGAAGGTGGGCACTTAGGAAGAAAGTTAGAGTCGTGCAGATACCAGGAGACTCAGCCTCAAAGGTGTACAGGGGTCAGCCCGACAAACACAGTAAATGTGGGCGTCACCAATAATTAGTACAAAGCCACTTGAGAAAAATTTCAAACTCTTTGTTACTCTTGCTTTTTTTCAAAAAGAAAATAACCACACAAATGATTAGATTCTTTTTACTGCTCAAAATGAGACAAGAAAAGTAAAATATTATTGTACTTGATTTATTAAAGAAATGGGGAAGCAGGATGGTTGGTGTCTTTTTTTGAAAGAAGAAATTAGAAGGTGCAAAGGTAGGTAAGTTAATGGAAGGGTAAAAATAAACACTGTGAATTATTTAAAGTCACACAATATACTATGAAGTAAAAAAATAAAAATAAAGTGGGGTGACTATGCACCCTGAACGGGAGACTGGCCGCTTAATCACACCTCACTCAAGGATCCAAACCTTTTCAAATGTTCTCTTTGTTTTGTTTATATATAGTGCAAAAGTCTGATTTTTTTCAGCACTCTATAAAATTTATTTTCAACAACCCATTTAAAATGCCAAGTAATGTAATAGAACAGCATCACCTTCTTCCACAAAATATTTTATATTTTGATACTTTAAAGCAAACCACCAATATTTGCTAAAGTTTACCAGCTTAATGAAGATACCATTTATATACAAATTAATTTATTGAAAGTGCACAATTTGATTTTAGTATGTTCATAAAGTTATGCAACCGTCATACCTAATTTTAGAACATTTTCATCACCCCAAAGAGAAACCTAATACCTATTAGTAGTCACTTTCTATTTCTCCTGATATATATCCCCTCCTCAGCCCTAGAAAACCATCAACTTACTTTCTGTCTCTACAGATTTGCCTGTTCTGAACTTTTCATATAAATGAAATCATACAACAGGTAGTCTTTTCTGTCTGCTTTCTTTCACTTAGAATAATATTTTTAAGGTTCATTCATATTATAGCATGTATTGATAATTCATTCCTTTTATGGATGAATAATATTTCACTGCATGGACATACTACATACTACATTGCATGGACATACTACATTCACTAGCTTATGGACATTGCTATAAATTGCATGTTTGTGTCCCCCCTAATTCATCCGTTGAAGCCCCTAACCCCCAACATGATAGTGTTAGGGGGTGGGGCCTCTGGGAGGCAATTAGGTTTAGATGAGGTCATGAGGGTGGGGCCTCATAATGGCATTAGCGTCCTTGTAAGAGGAAGAGAAAAGACCTCACTCTCTCCGCACCTGCATGCAAAAAATAGGCCATGTGAAGACACAGGGAAAATTCATCTGCAAGCTAAGAAGAGGGCTCTCAATAGGAACTAACTAGACCAGCACCTGTAACAAAATAAATGTCTGTTGTGCAAGCCACCCAGACAACTTCAGCTAAGGCAGACGTTTAGAATTTCACATTTTGGCTATTATGAACAATGCTGCTGTGAACATTCATATAGAGGCATACCTCATTTTATTGTACTTCACTTTATTGCCCTTCACAGACATTGCATTTTTTACAAATTGAAGGTAAGACCCTCCACCAGTGAAGACTACAACTCACTGAAGGCTCAGATGATGGTTAGCATTTTTTTAGCAATCAAGTATTTATAAATTAAGGTATGTACATTGTTTTTTTAGACACACTGTTATTGCACACTTGATAGGCTACAGCACAGGGTAAATAAAGCTTCTATATAAAGCTTTGCTTTATTGACTTGCTTTATTACAATACTTGCTTTACTGTGGTGGTCTGGAACCAAACCAAACCCACAGTATCTTCAAGGTATGACTATAATCTAGAGATGATTTAAAGTATACAGGAGAACTGGAGTAATGACAGTTTATTCGGTAATTGTTGCTGGAAAAATTGGGCAGATACATGCAAAAACATGAAACTAGACTACCGTGTGCCATCTACAAAAATAAACTTCAAAATGGATTAAAGACTTAAATGTAAGATTTGAAACCATAAAGCTCCTAGAAGAAAACATAGGCAGTAAAATCTCTGACATTTGTCTTAGCGATATTTTTTCTGCTTTACATCCTTGGCAAGGGAAAAAAAAGGAAAAAAATAAATAAATGGGACTACATCAAACCAAACTTTTTGTACAGCAAGAGAGACCATCAACAGAATGAAAAGATAACTTTCTGAATGGAAGAAGATATTCATCAATGATATATCTGATAAGGGGTTAATATCCAAAATTTATTAAAAACTCATACTACTGAACATCAAAAAAAATAACCCAATTAAAAAAAATAAAAAATGGATACAGAAGACTGAATAGACACCTCTCTACAGAGGCATACAGATGGCCAACAGACATATGAAAAGATACTCAATGTTGCTAACTATCAGAAACGAAAATTAAAGCCACAATGAGAGTTCACCTCACACCTGTCAGAATGGCTATCATCAGTAAATCCACAAATGACAAGTGTTGGAGAGGATGCGGAGGAAAGGGGACCCTCGTGCTCTGTTGGTGGGAATGTAGACTGCTGCAGTCACTGTGGAAAACAGTATAGAGGTTCCTCAAACAATTAAAAATGGAACCACCTTACAACGACCCAGCGATTCCACATCTAGGTATTTATCTGAAGAAACCCCCAAAAAACAAATTTGAAAGAATATATGCACCTCTATGTTAATTGCAGTGTTATTTATAGTAGCCTAGATATAGAAGCAACCCAAGTGTCCATCAATAGACAAGTGGTTAAAAAAATGTGGTACATATATGCAATGGAATATTACTTGATCATAAAAAAATGAAATTTTACCATTTGAGACAGCATGGATCAACCTAGAGGGTATTATTCTCAGTGAGATAAGAAAAAGACAAATACCATGTGATTTCACTTATACATGGAATCTAAACAACAAAATAAACAAAATTCAAACAAACTTGTAGACACACAGAACCGACCGGTGGATGCCAAAAAGGAGAGGGGTCAGAGAACGGGGTGAAAGAGGTGAAGGGGTTAAGAAGTACAAATCAGTAGTTTCAAACTAGTCACGGAGATGTGGGCCACAGCAGATGTGGGGAGTACAGTCCACAGTGCTGCCGTGACTATGTGTGGGGCCGGGCAGGTGCTGGAGGTATAAGCCGGGGTGGGGAACAGGACACTTTGTGAGATGTGTGGTTGTGTGACCACTGTACTGTACATCAGAAATCAATATAAAATAATGTTAAACATAAACTGTAATTGGGAGAAATAGTACACAGGAAGATGTGCAGAGGTTATATGCAAATACTAATGCCATTTTATGTTAGGGACTTAAGCATCCTCAGATTTTGGTATCTGAGGGGGATCCTGGAACCAACCCCCATGGACACTGAGGGACAACTGTGTGTGTGTGTGTGTATTAACATGACCGTTTTTTCATTCTAAAATACATCACTCTGGTTACAAGGGAGAACAATGTCTATAGGGGTAGTCTCCCAGCTTTGACAGTAAAAAAAATTTTTTTAGCAACCCCATAAATGTATAGTATTTATAAATTGCATTCTACTGTGGCCTATGGT